CAATAATGTATATACTACCGGACCCGTGTGAAAAATTCGCACAGCATATTGTTTTCAAATGCCTAATTATTAAGAAAAAAAGTAATGCAACCTATCAAAAGATAAAAAAATCAATTGTTACTTTATCGAAAGATATAAACGACAAAGGAAACAAAAATTATATTAAATCTTCATTAATGTTTGGTACTAACATGTTTACAAATTTCAATAAGCTGTGTCTTTGCTAAAAATTGTCCGATTTCGATGATTTTTTTTTCATTTTATAGAGAATTCAGTAATCTTTTATATAATCATGAGCATAGCCAAGGGAAAATTGTGTAATTTTTTAGTTATTTGCAAATAAAGTGTGTTTTCATTCATAACTTGTTTGCCTGAATTTTCGAGTTGATTGGACTATTTTGTCCGCCTGAAGAAGAAGGAAGCCTTCGAAATTGCTGGCTCAATTTTGAGATTTGGTGAAGAATTAACGATGATATGGCTTGCCGATCAAAAACACCATCGATAAATAATATAAACTCCTCTCTCAATCATAGAGTTCTCAAGTCGACGAAATGAGACATATATTCAATGACAGTACTACAATCAACGTAAGGTTGTGTGGATGCGAACCCTATGCCTTGCGTTATCTCGAAAATCGTACGTTTTAGGGCTTAAAAACGCAGGATCCTGGTCTTGCTGTACTCATCAAAATCTTCAAGGTCCAATTTGTCCCGCATCGATCTACAGACCTACAGACCACCGTTCCTGTATTGAAGCCTAGAAAAATGTTTGTATCGACTTTATTTATTTACAAAAGAAAAACAAAAGTGGAGAATACGATTCGCTAACCCCCCGTGAAATTCTGAATCCAACGGTATTTGATATTCATGGTATTTGAGCATGACAGGAGCTTATATTTGGCAGAAAACCGATTTCGAGCCTTAATGTAATTATATAGGTGTGGATTTGATTTATTTATTTAATTCGTATACTTTTTTTATTATGCTCATTTATGTACACTTCTTTTAGTAGAGTTTAGGTGCGTTAAATTTCAGTAGTATCGCGAGAAGGCTAGATATACCAGAAGAAGTTGATACAGTGAATTTAATTCAAAATTCAACTTTTTTCGATTTATCTTGCAAAAAAGTAAGAAATTCGGGAACAACCATTTATACTTACTTCTATCTTCTGACTAATATTTATCTTTCATTAAAAAAAAAAAAACATACAAATTTATCAAACAGAAGAAACCAAACTTTAAGTCCTGAATCATTAGATCTTTTTAAATATCTCTGAGGACAATAGGAATTGAAATTTATTTTAGATATACTTATGTTAGACTTAAGAAATAGAAAATTGTAGATGATGGCTGCTGGGAATACTACTGAACTTTAACAAGCTATACTCTACTAAAAGTTGTTTACACAAATAAGCATAATAAGGAATATATATATGGATTTAATAAATCAATCAAATATATACATTATTGGCGTTTGGGTGGAAAATTTATAGGTTATGTTGAGTAATAAATTGAAAACTTTGAATGTCGGTAGCTCAGCCGTGTGTCAGTAGAATCTAACCAAATCAGATGGGTCTTTTTTACTGTTTCATGAGAAACAAAATGACATAAGTCACATACTAAAACCCGCCCCGCCTTAAAGATATTGCGATTTTAAAATCGTAAATTTGTACTTTTTTAAAAAAAATTATTTTCCATCATAGCTTTCTTCAGAAGGAGTTTTCGCAAAATAATAATAGAATCTGTTAATGACGATCCTTTAATTGCATCCCAAACTCTTCAATCACATATCACTAGCCTTGAAGAATGGTGTAAAAATTGGAGAATAAAAATAAATTCCAACAAATCCCATCAAATCACCTTTACCCTCCGTCGTAAACCTATGACTTCTTGTCCTACTGTAACCTTCAATAATACTCCACTTATTCCTGTTGAGCAAATCCGCTACTTAGGACTCCATTTGGATAAACGTCTTACTTGGAATCCTCATACTAGACTGAAACGACAAGAAACTGCTCGACGTTTCCGACTGCTCCAACACTTACTAGACAAACGCTCCAAACTTTCTATTAATTACAAAAGACTTATCTACATAACTATAATAAGATCTATATGGACATACGGAGTTGAGCTTTGGTGCTCTACCAAACCATCGAATTCCTATCGTATCCAATCCTTACAATCCAAAATCCTCCGTAAAATCCTTAATGCTCCATACTTTGTCACAAATAAAACCATTCATAAAGACCTTAATGTACCATATGTCGCTGATTTAGCTCGAGCCAGATATCTATCCTTTCATGATAAACTTCAGTCCCATCCAAATCCGCTTGTTTCCACTCTTGCTTCTTCCTCGATTCCTGATAATCCTCCTAGGCGTCTGAAAAGGAGATGGCCTCGTGATCTTCTTACTTAAAATTATTTAGAGAGTGCTACCACTGGGTAGCAACTCTTCAAGCCTGTACATGCCATTATTTATATTTGGGTATATTTACTAGTTGTATTTATAAACAGTTGTAAATTCCATTAAATAAAAAAAAAAATAATAATAGAATATTTTCTTCTTAGAATTGAATTAAATTAGAATTAAATTTCTTATGAGATGGCATAATTTTCTGTACTTAAATCCCCTTTACATATGAAGGAAACATAATCATTTTGTCTGGAAGAACAAAATGCCGATTTGGTCAAGTTTTGACCACTGTGTGCCATCCAGATGGAAATCGTTTAATTAATGATTGTGGTGATAGAGTAAGAGGCGGTAAATGGAGAGACTATGAGACGGAGATAGAGTCAGTTTAAAAAATAAAATAATATTATGTGAAATTAAACTAAAAAATAAAAAATGTAAACCTAATATTTAAAAAGTGAAAACAAACTAACGAATTATAGTATTCTCCTGCTATAAGTAACCAGTCATGCAAACCTTGACATGAGAAAAGAGGCTTTTCCCAAATTGGCTTGGCATGGTAAGGAGACATTGGGGGGGATAAAGCTGATAATGCTTTCACAGCCTTCGGAATATCTGAGCAGTTTTCTGGATTATATTCAAGAAAAGTTGGCAGGCGGTGTAACGGATGTTTGGACATATCTGTATCTATGTTTAAAAAAGTATAAACTATAATAAAGGCTTTGAGATCTAATAAGGTCCAAACAAGTCTATAAGTTTGTCTGGAAAATAAAGGCTTAGTGGAAAATAAAAATTCTGTAGATTAAATTATGGTTTATAGTTTTGAGATAGTTATGTAACAAAAAAAATGGAGGTATATTAATATAAATATATGGAACATTATTTTGATTTATTTTTTTTATAATGAAAATGGCATAACGTTGGGTCTCAATTCAGCTCGTAATCATTTCCTTTTTTATATATTGAATCTGTTCCACTGAATAGTAACGTTAGTATTTTTTTTCAAATATTATTCTGTTTAGTCCGTGGCACAGGCCCCTTTTCGCAAATTATTAACATCCGCCTGAAACTTATTTCATCGTAACCTACAATATTTTATTTACGAAAATTTACAGAATTGGGCGTTTTCAATTTGAAGATCGGCAAAATGTGTCTATTTAATCCTATATATTATTTCTAAAAGGCTTTTATTTTTCTCGGTACGCCATAACTTCGTTAATTCTTCATCAAATCCGATGATTGACTAATCATTTTGAAGATATTCTTCTCCTTCACATGCGAAAACTCAAAATATTTAATTTGTGAATAACTCCAAAAGTATGCATTTTTTCTTGATTGTACCTATGATAATTATTTAATTATCAAATTACCTACAAAACAAAAAAAAATCGGACAATTATTAACTAAGATATGGTCCATTAGTTTTGGTATACTTAATAATGTCTTCCTGTTTAAAGATATTGCATTTAGGAGTAGAATAGTCTACTACACTTTTTTTCCTGGCTGATATATTAATTATATTATTTCTTAAAAGACATTTGGTTGTTCTTACGTTGGTTATTTTTAATAATTTAGAAAATCCCATTATTTATTAAAGATTGGGGGATTATTTTGCCTTTATTGCTTTTATTATAATTTCAGTCAGTGTTTAAAAATAGGTCCTAGTAAAGCAATTTGGACAAATATTTTGGTCTATTATGTTTAATGGAATATTGTAATCGACCAATAAAAAAATATTAATTCCTTCCTTACATAATGCATACGAACTACTTATTTCCATATTGTTTTGCTATTTTTTTAGTAAACAAAATTTTTTGCGAATTATTCGCACGGGCCAACTAGTTAGTTACTAAAAACTCGTAAATACTCCTTCGCTTCCACTTGAATCGTAAGATAATCGAGAAAAAATGTGACTCACAAAAATATTGGACCGTTTGGCGTGACCTACGCTCCCAACATTTCAAATATAGACCATATTGGTTACATAGACCAAACGTCTCAATGTTTTTGTAGGCCACATTTTTTTCTCAATTTCGTCATCAAATTATCTTACGATCCAAGTGGAAAGCAAAAGATTATATACGAGTTTTTAGAACCTAATGTTGTGATATGGTGTGAATGTGCTAGACAAAGTTTGCGATCTTCAGATTGAAAGCCAATACCAAGAATATTCGTAAATAAAATATTTGTAGGTCACGATGAGATGAAGCCTACATACGATGTTTTAGGCGGATGTTAATTATTTCATAAAAAGGGGTCTGTACCGCGTGCTACAGTCTATTTATTGCAGATAATCTCAACAGAATGTTTACATTTACTCATTTGACATTTAATAGCTTATTATATGTATTTCTTTTTATTATTGTAGCTCGTCATTTCTGGCACTGTGAGGAAGTAGGCTGATCTAGAGGCACAACAAAACGTATTCTAACCAGAGTGGGAAAGTCAAGATTCATTGTGTGGGCACGCCACCAAATAAATTTCAACTATCCCCCAACTCACCCAGCCATCGCTACCTGTCTAGCTCATTACATCTAATAAATGAACAACAGTTTGATTAAAATTATGTCATTATTTTTTTTGTGTTTTTTTAAATTAAGTTTTTTATCAACAATCATCTCCCTTAGTGTGGGGACAGGCGATTTGATAGATAAACTGTACCAAACTTCTCGTCGGTCTTCCCGACATGAGTCCCTTCTTGAGATATGGCACGAGGATGCCATCGGAGAGAAACCCCGTACCGGCGATATCCATGTGAAGAAAGTCAACGCCCGGAGGTGTGAATTGCTATATTTACAAAAAATATTATTAATTACTTTTTAATATTAATTAGTAATTGTAAAAGATTTTTTTATCAAATATGAATAAATATTATCGATAGACATCATGCTATTAAATAACGGTATAATATTCCTTTCATAAAAGGACTCAGGTTTTCGTTTGAAATCGCTAAGCACAAAAACGGATGGATGAAAAAACGGCTTAGCAGTCGTTGTGAAATGATCCGTGAAATCTACAGTAAAGGTTTTAACCCATTGAACCCCTCGATTTGACCAGCTGAAAGAAGGTAAAAAAATATTTCTAACAGTGTTTACAAAATTCTGTGAAAAAGTTTATTTAATAATGTTTAATTATTGCATTGAGGTTGCTATATTTATTGTAATTGCAATTGTATCAGATAGTTGTTGAAACTGTCATATTGGTTGTCTCATCGAATATTGGTCGATACAGAAATGTAACCAATTAATTTTTTTTATCAAGTTTTTGTCATTTAATTAAAGCCTCTCCAGGACTTGATTTTATCCAAGAAAAGTTCTCAAGATCATTGTATTTATAAAGGTTGTCCCGTAAGTAGAGGGAATTTTTTATAGGAGCAGAAAAGCAGGAAATCCAAGTTTAGTGTTTTTTAAGTAAATCATGTTTTTTTATGAACAGGAAGCGATAACTAAAGAAGTATTTAATTTAAGTACATGGCAAAAGAAAAACTTCTCCGTTTAATAAGCTTCATGCTCATATTCCTGAAAACAATATTTTGAAATAACAAAATCTCAACACTAATGTATAATACATAATCCTAAAATCCTTTTAAAATGTATTGTTAGTATAGGATAGGTGATGGAATAAAATATCAGCATTCAATTTAAAAATTTAACTCTTGATATCTATATTAAAAAAATTCCTATTCACAAATTAACAACATTATAAATGTATATAGGGGATCCCGTATGCAGAGAGAAATTTTTATAGGAGTAATAGCAAACCTCAAATATTGTAAACACTGTTAAGAATATTTGTTTACCTTCGTTCAGCTGGTCAAATCGAAGGGTTCAATGGGTTAAAACCTTTATTGTAGATTTCACTAGATCATTTCTAGACCTAGAGAAAAAGTCATATAAAAATGGACCGGTTCTAAGAAGAAAAGTAGAAAATCCAAGTTCTGTGTTTTTTAAAACAGTCATGCTTTTTGATGAATAGGAAGTGATAACTAAAGAAATGTTTCATTTAAATGAATAACCAATGTTACACTGTAAAATAGATACATTGTTTTGAAAATAAAAATAGAGCTTGTCATTATTACAACCATTTTAAGAGGACTTTTGAGTGACTAAACTTGGCTAAGTTCTGTTTTTAAAAAAATAAAAAATTATTGGCGATTTGTTTTTATCAAAATCCAACTGTACTACAGATACCCCACTTTTAGACAAACTTCTTCGTTTAATAAGCCTCATGTCCATATTAATTAAATTGAGGTATATCAAGCAAATTCTTGCGATTCACCTCAAGTTTTGTAATGAAATGTGATTTTTCATCTTGTCACCTAAAAGTACCCGTGTTTTCCACAAAATTTAATACAATTAACTGTTGTAAAGCTTTTATTTCTAGTTTTTCTATGATCTGGGTTGTATTTAGGGACAAAAAAGTCCCTAAATACATTATTTATTTAAAAAAAAAAAATAAAAGTAATGATTTTTAAAATATTTTATATGTAAAGTATTTACGAAACTGCATTTTTCTCCCAGATCTCTGTCATAGGAATTGATCCATATTTATAAGTGACAAATTTATATTTAAAATACTATTTAGGGAATTATTTTTAATATAATATATCCCAGGATCATATGAAAACAATAACTAAAAGCTTTGCGACAGTTAATTCTGTTAAATTTCTTTTTCAATACCTTCTTTATTTATAATAATAATGATTTGTTAATTACTTTTCATGTAAAGTGTTTACGAAACTGTACTGTTTTCTCAGATATCTGACAAATGAGTTGATCTGTATTTATAAGTTACAAATTTCATGTTTCCGGTTCTAAGATTTATGTTTTTATGAAAACAATTGAAGCATTCAGCAGATTTTATTTTGTTTCAAACGTAAATTATAGGACTAGAAACATTAAATTTGTCGCTTATAAATACGGATGAATTCCTATGAAAGAGATCCGGGAGAAAAAACGCAGTTTCGGAAATACTCTACATGAAAAATATTTAAAAAATCATAATTATTACTATTTTTCTATAAAAAAAATAATGAATTTAGGGATTTTTCGTATTACAATATATCCAGATGATAGAAAAACAATAAATACAAGCTTTGCAACAGTTAATTGTATTCAATTTTACTTAGCCAAGTTTAGCCGTTCAAAAGTCCACTTTAAATAGTTTTAAGATAACAGCCTCCAGTTTTTCTCCTTAATTAATTATTTTAATTAGGGATACCCACTTTATAGAGGCTTGGTGTGCCCCAGGAGTGTCTACCCAACCCAGGATCGCGCCACGGCCAATGAAACAGAATAAATATTTCTGCCATGAGCCGGGATTCGAATTGATTTTCATAAGATAATGGAATTTTACTTTCTGAGGTGAAATAATACTCCAAAATCAGAATGACTGTTTTTTTTTTTTTTTATTTCCAAAAACAACTTTCTGTTTCATGAAGAACTAACTAGTAGATCTATTGATAATCTTTTCTCAAGAATTCTTTAGTTCTTCTTAAAATTTCTAAACAGCTATTTTAGTTTCGGAGTTATTTTAATGTTTCCCTCAAAGTTTTAATTACGCCCGTTTTAACATGATTTCTGATTGCACATATGAGTACTTACAAGCAGAAAGGCAGCAGCCAAGCAGGTTTCTCCTTCGTTGTTTCTGCCAACGTTACATACGTCAACACCAGGTACCTCTGTTAACAAATAAATTCAAATAATGTAGCCGTTTTGGGTAAAATAAAAAAAATATATATACTTGTAAAAATCATTATTCAGACTGAAAAAAGTTAATGAATTGTTTCATTAGAATCATCTGCGGAGTCTGTAATGCGGAGGCTCCCAAATCTCCAGTTGGTATTCCGAGTTGAATTGGTTATATACAGTTTCTCGACTGTAATATTTCCTTTGTGTATTCCTTTTACGAAGCATCACAACCAGAAAACCGTCTTAACTTCTTGACTTATTCACTCCCGTTCCTCTGCCCATTCTTTCAACACAAGATCCCACTCTACAAGCCTCCATATTCCTTCTCATAAGACGGTTTATTTTGAGAAAAAAAAACTTTATAATGCGTGCTACCTTGTTTTAGAATACCTTACCCAACTCGATACGGAAAACCTCATCTTTGACTTCATTTAAAAAAAACAATTTTTTCTACATCTCATCACCCATAAATCTTCAGAATATTCATAAGAATTAAATATGGTACCGATTTGATTCTACTGTTGACTCAAAACTGTTATTTATATTACTTACACAGTGCAAATATGTAAACACACAAATATCAATTTACCTGTAATTCATCGTATTATATGTATATTTCGAATAGCATTTAATTTTAATTTTAATGTTACATAACTTTGTAACCTAATTATTATTTGTCAGCCATTATGTGCCAGACAAATTTATATTATAATGTAATTGTCATTGTACATGTTTGTTATTTTTATGTGACTAAACGTCACAGGATAAAATTTACATTCTTCTTTTTCTTCTATTTATCTATTTATAAAATAAATTTTGTATATTATTGATTCCAATTATATTTATACAAAAGCAGGCTACTTTGATGGTTTTGCCAACCATCATTAAATGTTTCATCGGTATGGGATACATCTGATGAAAAAATTAAAATGAAAATAAAGCAATTTTATTTAAAAAGAAGTGATAGATAACCTTTAGGAAGCAAAATATGACTTTGCTGTAAATATTAGGAAAAAAAAAAAAAAAAAAAAAAAAAAAAAACCTTTTGGATGATATATAGTCAGGATTTTCAGTTGTATCATAGACTGAAAATCCTTACATTACATCTTCCTAGATACTTATAAAACAGTAAACAAAATCCATCTCTAAATAACAATTTTTAACACCGCCATTCATATTTCTGTTCTACTAATTATAACTTTTTAGTTAGTTGAACAGACCCCCTTTTTATCAAATTATTGACAGCCACCTGAAACTTCGTAAACAGCTTCATCTCATCGTAACCTACAACTATTTTATTTTTGGAAATTCAGGGAATGGGAGTGTTTTCAATAGAAGATCGGCAAATCTATTTAACTAGGTATTAAAAACTCGTATATAACCATTTTCTTTGCGCTTGAATTGTAAGACAATATAATTTTTTCAAAAAAGAAACAGTGACTTAAAAAGTATTGGGCCGTTTAGCTTTTATAATCTCGTTATTTTGACATTTTGGAGGTGGAAGTCACGCAAAATGGACCAATATTTTCGTGTCACTATTTTTTTCGACTTTTTGATCATATTATCATAAGGTACAAGTGGAAAGTAAATGGTTATTCACGAGTCTTTAGTACCTAATTAAATATACAAAGTTTGCCGATCTCCAGATTGAAAACGCCGCAATTTCGAGAAGTTTCGTAAATAAAATATTTACATCTGCGGTATTTTCAGTCTGGATATAGGCGAACATTGTATATTTAATTAGGTATTGAAAGCTCGCAAATACCCATTTATTTTTCTATACTTCAATCATAAGATAAAATTTGATCACGAAATCGAGAAAAACGATGACCTTAAAAAATATTGAGTCGTTTGGCATGATCTACACTCCCAAAACGTTAAAATAAAAAGATTATGTTGGCTAAACGGCCCTATGTTTTTGTAGGCCACTTTTTTTTTCTCAATTTTGTGATCGAATTTTCTTACGATTTTAGGGGAAAGAAAATGGGTATTTACAAGTTTTTAGTACCTAATTCAATAGACAAACTTTGCCTTTATCCAGATTGAAGACACCCCAATTCTGAGATGAAGATATTCACGAACTTTTAAGCGAATGTTGGTTTGTACCACGGACTATTTTTATTTATAAAAAACATTAACATTTCGAACATATATGTGGTTCTGGTAGGCATTTTAGTTCTATAATAATTATCTCATTATTATTATTAATTTACAAGCTTAATATCAATTAAATGTTGGCAATAAAATATTTATTAGGTTTTAAATTGTAACTTGTAGTGCTAATAATGACCTCATAGCGTTGGGATATAACATTTTTTATTCTCTTTATTATTTATTTAATACCATTATGAGAAAATAAAATAACATGGAAAAAAATACTGGGAAGGAAGCAATATTGTACATGAATTTACAACTTTTTTTTATATATTTAGGAATACTCCCACCACAAATCATGAAACTCCGGTTTTCTTGATTAGATTATTCTCCTTCCTTCTGAAATTCTATCTCTTTCCTCTTTTTTGAAAATCCTATTAAAGCAAGAGGGTCTTTCAATGTTCTTCTCATTTCTTTATGTATCTTGTCGGTAATCCAAAGCTTTTTTTTTAACAGAAAGTATTCATTATATATTGTTAGGTATCCGCAATTCGTTTTGTTTATTTAGTTGGTACAATTCATTCTGAATTTTATATTCGGTGACCACAACATAAAACAAGAATAAAACAAAAAAAAAAAAATCTCGGACAGCAAAGCTGAGTCATGAAGGTCAAATTTTCCTTTTATTTTAAAACAGATGAAAAATGCTTTAATTGTTGCATTTATGCATACCTAAGAAAATTGTAAATAATTTAAAAATCAATTTTGCAGAAAAGTTTCTTTCCCATATTTAGTTTCTAAATATCTTGTATATCTTTTTCTGAACTTAATTTATTGAAATGATGGCGATGGGATAAATCAAATGAGAGATCCTGTATAGATGGAAAAAAACAGGATAATTTCGATGGAATTTTCAAAATGTAGCGTTGTAAACAAATAAAATAATAAATACTCCATAAACCGTTTAAATGCCACACATACCAAATGAACCGTGTTTCATGGTTACGAGAAAGAAAATGCATCCTTACCCCTCTCTGATGACCTTCCAGAGGTCTATTGTTTTCAGAGAAATTTAAAAAAAAAAAATATACATATAGATGTGACCTACATTAACCTACTACCTACATCAAGCTAAATATTCTATGTACATAAGTACCCACGAAATAAATCCTATTATAATCGACAACTGTTTAAATATATCGCCGGTTTATTGAAAAAAGTCACTAAGTGCAGTTTTGATGTATGATAACCTTCAAGAATGTTTTTATGAATTTGGCCTAATGCATCTATTTAAAAACACCATAACTGCCTGAAAATGAACAATAAAAAAACACAAAACAATGAAAAAAAAACACACACAAAAAAGATCATAAATAGTTAAACTTAGTGCTCAGTTTTGTGATTTAACAAAGGAAGAATTCAACTAGATTATTAATTATTAAAGGTTATGAAATGTCATTTAATGACTTTTTGCAATAAACCAACGATATAATGTACTAATTAATGCTTTATATAATTAATGATATCCTCCGAACTCCGGACGGAAACAACATCTCTTGTTTTGGCACGCTTGGAAACATATAGGATATAGGATAGATCCAAAACGATATCGTTATGGTTTGTGTAAACGTTGTATGTAATGATCTTACATGTTTATTCTCTTTGCGCTAAAGGTGACATGTTGTAGTAAGCAACGACTGTTTTAGTATTATTCTAGTATTAATCTGCTAATTATAAAAATAGCAGAGTGCAATTTTTACGAGAATTGTCAATTTTTACCTGAATATATATTTCGCAGTACGACAGTAACGTAACGACATGCTCAAAATAATTTAATTATTTTACGAATTTCAAGGTTTTTTTAAATTTATTTATTGGATTCAACCAGGCTTTAACATAACATGTTGCTTTACCTAACCAAAATATTTTTTTTTTTAACAACGTGTATGCTACTAATTAGTAAAACAAAACATATGTTATTAGAACGAAATATTATGAATCGCTACTTTTTCATTAATTTGTTTAGCACGGAATGGAGCTATTTTCTATGACAATAAAATAAATAAATAAATATGTATTGAATTATTCTGTTTCAATAAACGATGTTTTATAATATCGTTTTATTAACCGCGTTACCTTGCGGATACACGCGGGATAAAGCCCCCCAATGTATACAAATATTTTTTTTGTTTTCATTGGCCCTTATTTGTTTATGTTAGCGATCTAAGCTAAATACTTATACGAAATAACAATAGCTGTATAGTCTCTTTTTAAATTATGTATTAGTTACCATTTGAAAAAAAAACCCTCCAAAATTAAAGCAAAGATTCTCTACTGATCACGTTCACTCTATAAAGATTTTTTTACGAAGATTAGATGTGTGTGATTAAAGGTATTTCTATAATAGAGTAGTTTTACGAGAATATCTTATATATTATTTCTAAAAGGTGTTTTTGACGGTACGCCATAATTTCGTCAATTCTGCATCAAATTCTATGATTGACCATTCATTTTGAAGATATTCTTCTCTTTCACATTCGAAAAATAGTCCGACCCCCAAATGTTCTGGAAAATAAAATTATGAAGGAAAATTAATCTTTATTTGCGAATAACTCAAAAAGTATGCATTTTTTGTTATTATTATGATATGATAGTACCCATGATAATTAAAAATATTACTAAATTACCTGGGAAAAAATAGTAAAAATCGGACAATTATTGACAAAGATACAGTCCATTAGTTTTGTATACTCAATAATTTCTTCTTCTTTTAAGATATTGCATCTACTATTCTACTACACTTTTTTTATATATCAACTTTATTATTTCTTAAGGCATTTGTTTGTTCTAACATTTTATTTCTTTTAATAATTTAGAAAATCCCATGATCGGGGCT